CAATTCTTCCAACCCCCTCCTAGATGCTGCCAACCCCCTCCTAGATGCATCCAAACCGCCCCGAGATGCTTCCAATCGCCCCGAGATGCTTCCAAACCCCTCCTAACTTATCCCTGTCTCCCCCTAGATACTTTCATTCCCACCCCACATGCTTCCAAACCCATTTTAGATGCTTCCAAATCCCTTCTAGATGCTTCCAAACTCTCCCCAGATGCTTCCAAACCCCTCCTAGATGCCTCCAACCGCCTCCTAAATGCCTCCAAACCCCCCAGGTGCTTCCAAACTCCTCTAAGATGCTTCCAAACCCCTCTGAGATCCGTCCACCCCCTGCCCAGATGCTTTCAACCCCTGCAATTCTTCCAACCCCCTCCTAGATGCCTCCAAACCTCCCCACGTGCTTCCAAACCTCTCCTAACTTACCTCTATCTCCCCCTAGAGGCTTTCAATCCCCCCCACATGCTTTCAAACCCCTTTTAGATGCTTCCAAACCCTCCCCAGATGCCTCCAAACCCCTCCTAGCTTAACTCTATCTCCCCCCAGATGCTTCCAAGTCCCTCCCAGATGCTTTCGAACCCCCAAGAGGGCACAGAGAAAGACAGATGGGGACCCCACGTGCCCACCCAGGGGGTCTTCACCACTCACGTGATGGGGAAGTTGACGATGGTGGGGTTCTTCTCCACGAAGAAGTTGTTCTTGGTGAAGCGCTTGATGCAGAAGATGAGGTAGGGAGGCAGCTTGGTGAGCTGGAAGCGCTTGAGAAAGTTCTCCTTGTAGGTCTTGTATTCTTTCTCGGTGGCGCCGTTGAATTTGGCCAAGATGCTGAAGAGGGGGACCTGGGGGATGATGAGCTGCTCCTTCTCGTCCTTGTAGAGCGGGGCGGTAGGAAGGTCCAACGTTAAGTACATGAAGGTGGATTCCACCATCATCTCCTGGTACTCGCTGTTCTGCAGGAGCTGCGCCTTCTCCTCGGCCGGCTGCGGGACATGACGCTCAGAGGGGGGGTCTTGTAGACCCCCATGGGGGTGAGAAACCCCCTCCTTCATCCCTCCAAGTACTCACCAGATCTGGGTGAGGCAGTTTTTTGGTGAAGATGCGCATGGAGCCCTGAAAGACGTCGGTGACGATAGCTGCGGGGACAGAAAGATTTGGGGGGGGGGGTACCAGGGGTGACGTGGGTC